CCCCTGGCTGGGGACCCTGATGAGATGAATTCAGAATAATGAAAAATCCATGTTCCTGCACCAGTTATGTTATCCCATAATAGGGACATAAGCTCAAATATAACCATTCTTTTAAAAATTTAGACACTTTCACTAATGAGTAGCTAAGAAAAACCAACAATTGTGTGCAATTCACCCCCATATTTTTGAAATTGACATTGGAGAAGACAGTTGTGCCTCTGTTCTTACCTTCAAATAGCCTGCCATCCTGCGTTTGAAGCTCTCTGGGCTCCTCTTGGAGGTCCTTTTGGCAATTCAGAGGAGTGAAATCGATATTTTAACTATTTACCATTCAACAGATATTTATTGTGTACCCACCATGTGCCAAGCCTTCTGATAAGCACTCCAAATAGAATGGAGAGCAGGGCAGACCATCTTAGTCTTCACAGAGCTACGATTTAGGAGATGGGTCAGATAATTTCTCCCACAAATAGATTTGTAATTCCAAACTGTGTTTTGTTCTATAAAGGAAAAATACCTGAGATATTTGTCTCCTTTCTTTCACTGTTCACACGACCACTGTAAGAAATCTGCTTTCTTTTCTCTTCAGGAACCTCCAAACAGGTGGCTTTGCGTGGGAGGGAGAGGTAGAGAACAACGCGTATAGCAAGGCTACCGGGGTGGTCCCCCAGCACAAGTATCACCCCACAGCGGGCAGCTACCAACTCCATTTTGCCCTGCAACAACTTGAACAGCAAAAACTTCAGTCCCGGCAGCTTCTGGACCAGAGTCGAGCCCGGCACCAGGTAATTCAAGATAAGGCTTTTCCATGTGCCAATGTCTTCCTTCTGTTGGTTTAAAAAAAAAAAAAACTGATGAGCAATATAGGAACAGTTTCTCAAAAGTTCACCAATGCCTCCACCTATGGCTTGGGTGGCTCATGAGGAATCAGCACGAGAGGAAAAGATGTTCTGAAGCCATATGTTGGCTTTCTTTCAATTGAATGTTTCTCCGCAAAAATCTCTTTTGTAGTAGTATTTACATTCCATGTTGCATATTAGTTCAGTAATTTCCCAAAGGGTCTAATTCCCAAGTACTGAAAAGCTAGCATTTTAAAGGTTTTTTTCCAAATATACTACTTCCTTGCTGTCGTAGACTTGGTGCATATATTAATCCTTCATGATCTATCAAGACTTTCAAGGAATAAGTAACTTTCAAGTTCTTACAAGAATGGTCTTAAGTTAGGTTGTTGGTGCTCTGGTTTGACAGTTTGTATGCAAAACAAGGTACACAAAAATCCTTGCTGTCATGGAACGTACTCTCGTGAAATATTGATTCCCTACTCATGGTCTATAAAATGACAAACTCCTGAGTATATGTATAAAGGAACTGTATAAGTTTGTATTCCACTAGAGTATCAGTATGGCCCCAATTACAGAGAAAGAATGACTTCACAAAAAAGTCAGTCCATGAAGTGTTAGATTTTTCTTGATGATTCAGGATTATTATCAGAATCAGTTACATGTTCTACATGTTCTGTTGGGCTGAATCCTTACTGATTCTGTGAGCTTCCCTGATACTTGGTTATATGAAGAAATAGCTTGTATCAGCTTTATCTTTTGTCATTTGCTCTTATAAAAATGTAGTATGTAGTGTGCATTTAGTTTGCACAAAATTAATATTCACTCAAAGGCTAAGGCAGCATTTCCAAAAGTTTTTTTTCCTTCTGAACAAAACAATTATTATCCTATCTTTACTTGCATTTTCAACTACCATCCAGGTCTGGACAAATTTTACTTTTTCAGTATCATCACTTGATCATCTTTATCTGTGATAGCATGCTCTGCATGTTACATTTAATTCATTGTAATTGAGGAATTGTAAGTGCAGGCGTTTCTGAAGTAGTTCTTTAGGTCATTTTTACTGAAGAAAAATCCTGACTTCTTATCTGTAGAAGGTGGAATGTAACAACACCACTCTGCCCTCAAGTAGACATTTCCTCATTTAGAAAGTCTTTGGAGGCATTTAGGCCAGTTTGCATTTTCACAATTGAAGACAGAAAAATATGGTTGAACAATAATCAGTATTGAGACTGATTATTGCAAAAAACAAAGAGCTTTATTTGAGATCTTAAGAATTCCAATTCAGAAGACAAATTCTGGTAAAAAAAAAAACAAAAGATTGTTCCAGGGAAGAGAAATAGTCAAGGGCTTACAAAGGCAAAAGCCCCAAGGTTGTTCAAGAATTATGACTGACCCTGATGTAAGAAAGGAAATATCTGTCCTTAAAAGATAGTCTGTTAGGAGTTTTTTTAGGATAAGGGTCCAATAAATAAATAGGCTGTCACGAGTTATTTCAGAGTGTAAGGGTCCACTAAGTACCCTGCATTTCTGGAACATTGGGCAGATGTTCTGGATGCCCACATTAAGACAAGAAGTGGTCCAAGTTCAGATTCCATCTGGACTGAGATGTGCAAAAGGCATACTTCCTCAGTGGCCTCCCAGCTCCATTTTAGACAGCTCTCTTAGCAATACCAACTCCATTTTGATTTTCCTTCCACAATGTATCTTAGTTTTTTTGTTTTAATCTGTAAATTTCTGAAAACTTTTTAAAGTTCTGACCCAGCCACCCCATCATTCAGAGTCCTTAAGAGTGCCAACTTAGTCAGATGCTGGATAGTGGAGATAGCATATATAGCCTTGTTTCCCTTATTTGAGTATAATCTGTGGCTCTAATGAATCTAGACAAGTTGGTCCCTTTTAATGCTTGTGTACTTTGAAATGGTGGATGATTAAAAAAAAAAGGTGGTTGCAGAATGCTGAAGTTCTGAGGAAAGAGACAGTTGTGCTGATTTTTCACTTTTAGAAACTGCTTCATTTGTAAGTCCTTCTCATTCTTTTGATTAGCTTCCAGCAACTCACATTCCTTTGAAAATTCAGAGTACTGCTATTCTTGTGTGGATTTTTTTTTTCACTGAGGATTATACTGATTTAGTTTTACTGAACTATGAAGTATATGGAGAATATGTTTTTTAGAATCTGTCAGAATACCTGTTTTAGGGAGGAATCAGAACTCCCAAGAAGAGAATTATCTCATGTCTTCTGGTGAGAGAACAGAAAATCATTTATCATAGTTTTATATATGTTTGTAACATCATTTTATTTTTCCTCCTGTTCTTCTAATTCACAGTTGATTAGGTAAAAATGAGTAAGGGTGAAGTTTGGGACCGTGGGAGAGAGTGAAAGAAACTAAATTCTATTAGCTTGAAGAGTTTAAAACTAATAAAATAGCAAATAAGATATGAAATGTTCTCCTATGAAAACTATTTAGTAGCTTAGAGCACTTTGTTTCCGAGGACATCAAGAAACACTCCACAGAAGGGCAAAGCCCTATTAGACTTGTAAGCCTCTGTTCTTAGCTTACCTTGTGACTGCGCTAGTCCTGATGATTATAATTACAACCAAATTGTTGGTTGAAACATGGTTTCCATTCTTAGTATGTCCTATATTTCTGTCCTTGGGTAAACTGCTTTAGAGAGAGATGGTTTCTCTGATGAACATCTTATCCCTTTGAATTCAGTTTTCTAAAGTGAGGTAGCCATTGTTATAATTAACAGTTTGGTTGGTAATTGCCTGTTTGAGAGCAGTGAATTGAAATCTGATTTACCTAGTATTCATTCACAAGAGAAACCTGTTTATGGACCAGGACATTAAAAGGGGCTTTGTATTGTATTATGTTACGTTACATTACGTTACATTATGTTATATTATACACGGACAGTGCCTTTCATAGTGATCGCCTAACAATATTGTTGGAAAAATCACACAGTCTTTCTTGCATTACATGCAGAGGAAGTTCATCCTTTTCAGCACTTAGATAGCCACCTTATTGAAGATACTAATTTCAAGAAGGAAAACTGATTCGAGATACGAGTTTGGAAATGGGCATCTCAAACCATTCATGCAGCATAAGCTTTGCTCTTCATCTCTGTCTAGCATTTCACTGATAAATCTAGAAATTGTCATGTACTGAATCATCCCTACAAAAGACTGGTCCTGGAACATGGACATGGGAGAGGAGGTTCACCTGGAGCCACTGGCAGAGGCTTTCAGAGCCAGAAGTAAAAGGAAATACATGTGATCCAGTCCATTTGATAGCATTCTATACAAAATAAGATAAAATTGAAACTAAGCTGTTACACACTGATGGGGAAAACTAGTAATTAAAAAAAAAGACATTCTAAATCAGAGGAGAACTTTTTCTGTAAATGATCATATAGTAAATATTTTAGGCCTTGCCAGCTGCATCGTCTGTGGCAACTACTCAGCTCTGCCAAGGTGGAATGCAAACAGCCACAGACAATATGTAAATGAACGAGTGTGGCTGTTTTCCAATAAAACTTTATTTCAAAAACAGATGACAGGCTGGATTTGGCCTGCAAGTCCTAGTTTGCAGACCCCTGGTTTTGAGCAACAGAACCCCTTGGAGGGTCTGTTGAAACGCCAATTGCATCTCGTGATGCCATTTCTGATTCAGTAGGTTTGGGCTGGGCCTCAATTATTTCCATTTCTAAGTTCCCAGAGATGCTAAGGCTTTTCTTCTGGGGACAGCATTTTGAGGACCACTGAGCTAGAGAGAAAGAGATTAGAAATGTCTCCACTTCATTATTTGTTTTCTGTCTTTTGGAAGGGAGACTGGATTTGTTAAAATTTTGTGTTGCCCTTATAAAATTTTAGACAATCTTTTATAGGAACATTGTTCCCATCTTTCACTTCATCTACCACAGTCTCCTGACAAGTAAGTTTGCCAAACTTGAAAACTTCTGCTTATTCTTTTTATCAGGGTATCTTCTGCTCAGCAACCACTGCTCCCAGGATTCAAGTTGTATGATGGCTGAGAGATAAGTAATGGCACAGATTCCTCCCTCTTTGTTTTAGTAATAATAGCCAACATTTAGTATGCACTTACTGTGGTCCAAGCACTATTCCAGGTGCTTTACATATATTAATTAATTTAAAATGAGTTTCAGGATGGTTGAGGAAATTGCAGGACCTTGGTAGCCTGTGGGTGGTAAAGTTAATCTCTGTGTGGATATATCCCAATGTGTCTTCTCTCTGGTTTTCCTCATTACTTCCCACTTCCTTCTCATACTGGCTTCCCGCCCCTGAAGGAGAAGGGTAAAAAAGTCTTCTTTCAGCTGAGTCGGGGGACTTTCTTGGGCAGCAGTGGCTGCTGGTGACATCAGCATGAGGAGCCCTCCCTGCCGGGGTCTGTGAGGAGGGCTGCACTGGCTGTGAGGGCCTCACAGCCCGGCTGACCTGATTCTAATTGCCGACATTGAGCTGATGTTATTCTTGGCCCAGGGCAGAGTGATTACTCAGTAGTTTCTGTTAAAGTGATCCTTTGTTAAACCTCTGCTCCCAGCCCCCATCTCTTGCCCTCCCACTCTCTTCTCTGCCTCCTTCAGACTGAAAAAAAATCCCCAAATGCAGAAAAATTAAGGACATTTTGATGGCCAAGGCAGCACTGCTGAAATTTCTTTAAACAACAAAGGAAGAGAGGGGGGATTTTTAGTGCATCATAATTTTTCACTGGTTCCCAAAGCCCTTCAATTTTTAGTAGACTTAATTTTCACCGTTTTTAAGGTAACTCAAGGTCGGAGAAAACTGTGCATCCTAAATTCTTCCCATCCTTCCATGCTGCCTGTGCTTTACTTCCTGCATCCCACCATACACAGCTTCATCAGACTAAGCTAGATTCGGTAAGGGGCAACAGAAACTAAAGGTCCAAAACAAGCAGGACCCGG